TAAGAACCAGAATCAGGAAGGTCAGAGGAGCATTACAGACGATATAGATCAGTGTACTGATTAGCATAGTATCGATGAAATTTCGTTGAGCCTCGTTTATCTGATATGATTGTATTGGTGAATTGCTCATCTCAACATCCGGTGCGTTTTGATCATTATCACCTGCAGTGGTAGTACGGTTTTGTGGTGATTGATTTGTCAATTCTGCTCGAACTTTAAATTGTTTTGTCAATGTGACGTAAATACGATAGTAACAAAATATCATAACGCAAATGGGACATAGCGCATTTAGAAAAAAAATGGTAGCTGAATAAAATCTGAAAACTTCTATTTTTGTATAAAAGATACACACATTTTTGGGATAAGGTTCAATTAAAAAGACATAATGAAATGTTATTAGAAATGCCGCTATGAATGGAAGAGACAGCTGTGGTAACATGTTTCTCTTGTTGTTACGTCTTATCCTGTACTGAAACGGATGCACTACTGCAATGTATCTCTCCACAGAAATAAAAACAAGATTTAGCGACGAGGCAGATAAAAAGAAGTGGTACATTGTAGATGACTTGCAGTAAATGTCGTTTGATTTTTCAGCTGCAACTGGGTAAACAAAATAAAATATAAGAAATAGACAGTTTGCTAACAAATCAATCAAGGATTGTTGAAATACCAATAAATAGGGGAAGGATCTACGATGAATTTTGCAGTTGATAAAGACAATTACCACCGATAAATTTGCACAAATACCAATGGTTGCTAGAAGAACATTTATGCACAACATCCAAATAGGAGATTCTATTTCAGTTTCCAATGTAGAGACGTTGTAGTGATTGGTCGACATTTTCTGTATCAAAAGTAGATTTTGATATAATGTTAATAGTAAAATATAACCGTATAATTAGTTGTATAATTACGGCTTAAAAAATACTATAAAGGCAAATTTTAAATTATTTACTATATTATAAATATTTTGTAATTGGTGTAAGGACCCCAACGGAAATAAGGTTTCTTTTTTACCTTTCTTGGGTCATCCTTAGTATCTTGTCTTCCCTGTTTTTGTTTCATTTGTATTTTTTGTATGTTATGATACTGAATAAAATCAATCAATCAATCAATCAATCAATTTGTAAGATTATTAATTTTAAGTAAGGGCGTCATAGTTCAAAAGCCTTTGCATGTTTGTGGTGGTCCTTTTTTCACACCTTTAAACCAAGGAGGTATAAAAATATATATACTATATATACTATATATATATATATATAGTATATATACTCTATATATATATATATATAG